CAATCTGAAACATGAAATAAAATACTTTATCTTGACAAGATTTAAAAAAAAACTCTAAGACTTAAAATACGATACCTTATTTTGTTGTTCTAAAACAAATATAAAAAATATTTTATTTTGATAATCTGAAACTTAAAATACAATATCTTATTTTGATGATCTAAGCCTTAAAATATAATATCTCATTTTGATGTCCTAAAACATAAAATAAAATATTTCATTTTAATAATATAAAACTTAAAATACAATATCTTATTTTGATGATCTAAGCCTTGAAATATAATATCTAATATATATATTTTGATGTGTCCTAAAACATAAAATAAAATACTTCACTTTGATAATCTGAAACTTAAAATACAATATCTTATTTTGATGATCTAAGCCTTAAAATATAATATCTCATTTTGATGTCCTAAAACATAAAATAAAATATTTCATTTTAATAATATAAAACTTAAAATACAATATCTTATTTTGATGATCTAAGCCTTGAAATATAATATCTAATATATATATTTTGATGTGTCCTAAAACATAAAATAAAATACTTCACTTTGATAATCTGAAACTTAAAATACAATATCTTATTTTGATGATCTAAGCCTTAAAATATAATATCTCATTTTGATGTCCTAAAANTCCAGATCTGCTGTGTCAGATAAAATTATACAATGGAAAAATTAAACTGGATCAACTTGGATTTTTTATTAACGTAATTCCTTTCCGATGAAAAGGATTTTGGCTATTGACATCAAAACCACAAGATAAAATTTATCATTGTACCTTCAACCTCTCTACCTTCTACAAGCCCAATCAAAAATAATCTTTCTCGATATGAGCCGCTTATTTTGAAAGTGGCATAAGTCACTTTGTTTTTAAGTCGATATATTTAAGGATTTGAGTTTTAACACGTTTAAAAATATGGATGCTAACTTTCGAGGAGATTTACTTGTATTTGTTATCTTAGGATACTGATATTTTTCTCAGTATAAATAATTTCGGATAAACATTAAAAAATCACCACTTTTCATTACGGTAAAGTGACTTGAGCCACTTTCAAAATAAATAGTTTAGAAAAATGACTGACATATATTAATCTTGTCCGACGTAATTTACTGAAGTGATGTTTTGAAAGGACAGTGATTTACTAAAATTGTTGAATAAATTACATGTATAATAATAATTTGTACCATGAACATATTTAATATAAATGTTTGATTTAAGTATTTTTTATTTTAATATTCATAAAATACAAAAATAATTGGTACATTTTGAAACATAAGTATAAGTAACTTATATGAAAATACATCAATTCAATTTAATTTTCGTCATCGATAGGAGTGATTAAGTCCTCGGAAATCGTGTTTTGTTTCAAATTTTT